CCATTTTCAGTTTCTTTAAAAAAAAAAACCCAAGGAGAATCTTCTCTATAACTAAACAAATATACACACCAATGAAACCAAACTTCTCCTATAGGTAGGCCCATGCCCATTTTTGGTGAAGGTCAAGATTTTTGGAAACCCCCGAAATCTGAGTTAGCCCGCTTGTCCTTAAAAGCGACCATTTGTTAGTGAGAGTGGAATGAAGCTGGCCTACTGTTCTTGGTGTGAACGGTTTTCTTTAATTAATGTAGTTGCTGCCGCTGTTTTTACTGTTGTTGTTGTTGTTAAGGTTGTTGTTGTTGTTTTTGTCGTAGCTGCAGTTGTTGTTGTTGTAGCAGTTGTTGTCGTTGTAGCTGTTGCTATTGTTGTTGTTGTTGTTGTTGTTGTTGTTGTTGCTGTTGTTGAGGTTTTTGTTGTTGTTGTTGTTGTTGTTATTAGTATTTATAGTTGTTTTTCCCTGTAGGTTATGCTGCCGTTGTTATTCTAATTGCTGCTACTGTTGTAGCTGCTGCTGTAGTAGTAGTAGTAGTAGTAGTAGTAGTAGTAGTAGTAGTAGTAGTAGTAGTAGTAGTAGTAGTAGTAGTAGTAGTAGTTGTTGTTATTGTTGTTGATGTTGTTGTTATTGTTGTTGTTGTTGTTAAGAAAGATAATAAAGCTGCTGCTGGCGTAAATACTTGTTTTTTCACTGCGTTTTTGTTGTGTTCAGATAAAATTAATGTAAAAGAGAAATGTCAAGCTTTTTTATAACTTCGGAAATTAGTTTCTGTTGTGTTTCTGAAGATTTTAAAAGTTTTTTTTGACGAACTGTTCTCTGTTAGTGGCGATACAACGGTGAGGTGGACAATACTGTTACCTCGTAAATATTGTGTTTGTTCTTTCCTAGAGAGTGGTTTTAATCAAACATAAATTGACGGGCATGGCAACCGTGAGGGAAAACATGCCATGTAGCATTAGACACGCGCTGTTTGGGTTTGCGCCAATGCTTTAAAAAAATTTTGTTTTGTTTTTTGCTTTCGTTTACTTTCACCAAACAGGACTGTTCTGCGCGCAAGAAAACACATATTGTCTGTTCAGTTTCCTTTTTGATTATTACCATAATATACTATAAAACTTTATTTGTGAGGCAACATAAAAATCAAATATGATTTATTTGCCGTTTGCATGTTAAGTATCACAACTATAGAGCGGTCAAAAATTCGTGGGGCAACTTATACTTGAAACATCTCTTTAACCGATCAATCAATGTCATCCATACTTTGCACAGCAGTTTATATCAATTTGTCTTAACTTAATCATGTTTTTTTTCCACTGCAATTGAGGCTAGATTAAAAAATTTTATTCATCAATTTATATAGATAGATATTATAAATCTCAGTCACGCAGAAAATTGGATCGTACACAGCACTTCCCGCTTCTCCCACACATTTTGTACATGGCCTACGCCACAGCTTACCAATGCCACTTTTTATAGGCAAAACTTGTTTTAGGAAATTACTTTTAAAGAGAACACTTTTCTTTGCACTAAAGGTTCTCAAAACAGGCGTTCAATAAAGATCGTGTCATGATAAACAAAACAAAACAAACAAAAAAATTAAAAAAAACTGACGGACTTGCTTTTAAAAACGATATTGCTGCAGCTGTAAAACTTAAAAAATCTGTAGAAACCGTCCACTTGGATTGTTGTGTTAGTATTTATTAGGGAACTTTCTAGAATACAGCTGACAGGTTTTTACAAAAATATTGATCTGTTAAGACAAATTGATACAAGTCAATGTTCAAAAGCTGGAGAGTCTAGATTCGATAGTTTAGGAAATATTTGCCAATAAGGTGCGCCACAAATTTTTTACCGCACTATAGTCATGATTTCTACACGCTAGATGTGTACTGAAATCAATCTCCAGTGCTGGAAATAATTTTTTCACTGGCATTATTTCGTATCCAACCGTTCTATGAAACAGGAAAAGTAATTTTACGCCTCCATCGACCCTATTAAGGTTATTTGAGACGCAGGCTGCTTCGACACTGCCTGTCAGGGCCAATCCGGCATGAGAGGGATACAAAGTCCCGGTAGAAAGAAGGAGATGTTCGATCAAAACTATCCCCTCACGGGAATCCATCTCACGTCTTCTGTGGACCACGACAAAGCGGCTATTAGGATTACATTTACAAGCCGGTGCTGTATGGAGCACATAGAGCCCCCCCCCCCCCACACACACACACACAAAAAAGAAGAAAAAACAAAAACAAAAACCCAAACAACCAGGGAAGTGCTACTGACTGAAGTGGTCTTAACGCTATTCCCAAAGGGGGGTATATTAATTAATATTATGTTCTAATGCACAGTGGAATTGTAAAAGGACTGATTTTTCATGCTGCTTTTTCTGTCCTCATCTTCACTATCGTCATTTTTCTTCTACTTCTATATATGTTTCTTACTCTCTTTTGAACTGCTATTTCCGGGGTGCCTTGATAGTCCAAGCAGACTTTGTGTTGTTGAGGCTAGAGGGGTGAGCTGAGTAAACATGACTCCCCGTTTGGACTTCTCTGTTCACATCCACTCCTTGACGCTCATATGACCTTAATGCAGTTGCGAGCGCCGTAAAACCTTTCTAGAACAAGCAAACAAGCAGACAGAATCCGTTGAGCTCAGTGCTCCAGCATCTATTTCTCCCGACCTATCACTTTTCATTGTTTCAGCATTTCTTCGAGTGAATCCTCTCATATGACCCAAATCAAGTCTTCCCTATTTTTTTTTTAGATTGTTATATCTTTCTCTGAGTCAGTCGCAAAAAACGTCAGGAGCGAAATGCAGTAGCAGTACATGAAACTGGCCTACCGAGGTTACGTGTTTTGCGACTGTCACTAAACTCTTTATCTCACTCCCCCCCCCCCACTCTCACACACAAACACAATCTGCAGCCGAAGCTTCCATACCCTTCCAAACACACAGGAGCAGAACACACTGGGTTTAACAACGACGACAACAACAACAACAACAACAACAACAACAACAACAACAACAACAACAACAACAAACACAGGTAATAATAATAATACTAATGTAGGCTGCAAGAAGATTTTCTGGAGATAAGTGAGTGTCACTGGTAGGTCCTACTCAAGTACTTTTCTAATCATCCAATAATTTTGTCGATATTTTGCTTTTCACCCTTGAAATCAATAAATCAGTGACCACTGCTGAGTCGGTGTGCTTCTCTTTGTCCCATCATCTTCGTCCCTTCCTCAAACCCTGAATCCCAAGAACACACTGACTTCTCTCTCACGTTTTCTTCCAACACCTGATTAGTGTTCTGTCGCTGCAAGTGGCTTACCTCCTCCTTCTCCTCTTCCTTCTCCTCCTCCTTCTCCTCTTCCTCTGTTTTCTCAATTACTGCCCTCGGCTTGTTTACCAACATTTGGTGCCGTTCATCTTGTCAAGAGAACAACACATGGAGCACGGGTGTGAAGTAGAGCTGGGCGCGGAATCGAGTCCAGAAACGATTCCCCCAATTAATGCTACGGAAGAAAACTTCTGATTCCTTTTTTTGTAAACCAACGGTTACCAGTTACTTTATTAATTAAATTCTTCTTTTTTTTGTGGAAGAATTTGTTTTTGAAAAATAAAAGTTGATGCTTCGTAATGTTCCGAAATCAAGGTTATAATAAATCATGAAGATGTTCGGAGCTAACCAGGTAACCACCGGAAGAAATCACATAATTAGAAAGTAAGTAATTGGGTTCGGACTCGATTCCTACGATTCCTAGATTTCAATAATCAGGAACCTAGCCGCCCAGCACTAGTGTGAAGCCAAACTTAAGCTCTCGAGTTACTCATAGACAAGAAATAAAAAACTACCACTGGGGGGAGAAACGGAAAGCGGAACCTGTCAAAACAATGGCAAGAAGAAATATCACTCTGAGGTTATAAATACTAGCTCTATGTTTTGTTTTGTTGGAGACAGAAAGAGAGCAAAGTACATTAAGCTAGTAATGGCATAATATACAACAAAGTAGTTGTCGATTCTTTCTTTCCCTTGCTATACATTTATGATTTAGTGCGGTACTCAATTAAGCGCTTAGACAATGTAATACCTCACTTGAAACTGTGTATTATTTTCCTCTACTATGCTATTAAAGAAGTACTGAGCTCTGTGTGCGTTATAAATCCCAATGAATGTGATAAAACAGATGATACTGTTACTTACAAAGAGTGTGTTTTTGTGATAGGCAGAACATCAAATAATAACCACCGCAGTTCTGTTTGTTGAATATCACAAAGCTTGGGAGAAGAATTAAGCTGTCGCCTTAATCACTGTGTTTATCTCCCTTCGCTCGTCCTGACCGACAATAACAACAGGATATGAATAGCGACAAGGACAACAAATCATCATCCGATTCTTATGGTGCAAAACGTAGTTATTACTATAAATATTACCTACTCTCTTTTGCGGAAGGAATTTATTTTTAGTGAAAAACTTATCATGCCTGTCATATTTTCCGTTTAAAAAAATCATTCTTTCTTTTTCATTTCCGTGGTACAATTCTGGCAAATGAATATAGCTCTGAAGTGTCAAACTTTGTCCGTGTATTTAGCAAGCTGATTCTCTCAAAAATATTTGGCTAACACACAACCTAACGAACGGCATCATCATATACACTTGTATTATCGTGTCCTAGGCCACGAGCTCTGACGTATTTCCGGTGCACTATGGAGCGTGCCGTTTTAGCCAAATTCCGGGCGAAGGTGAGAGGTGCCTCGTGTACTCGACTGTTATACAGTGACTGGTGTTTGCCATTCATGTGGCAAATGATCGTACATAACAAGATAGTTCACTCCTCTCTTTGAGCCAATTAAAAAAGTGTTCTCAAAATCCGGTGGTGCCTTCTTCGAAAAAGCGCAGACTTTGCAAACAGAGTTACCCATTTACATTTACAATTCTACTGTGCATAAGAACAG